CTGGGGGATTGAACCGCGGTCCCTGATGCTTTGCTAAGCTTGTTCTAAGTAGGTGCTTTAGACCACTGAGCCATCTCTCCAGCCCTCTTTTCCTGTTAAGAATTAGGATTGCTCAGTATAGTGTCACATTCTTGTAATCCAGTACTCAAGAGGCTGAGGCAAGAGGATCACTGCATGTTTGAGATCAGCCTGGGCTACAAAATGAATTCAAGGCCAGCCTGGACTACACAGTGAAACTTTGTCTCAGGAATACCAAAAAGGAAAAAAAGGGATTAAATTTTTACTGTCAGTCCTTAAGATTGTCCTAAGACTTACTCTTACTGCCCCTTCAGTTGATTCTAAAAGTTTGATAATTCTTGTTCCAAAAGTAAATCTCTTCCTCAAGAACAGACGCCACTTGAAGTGAAACCAGCACCTTTTGTGAGAAGTCGGTTCAAAAGACCAAAGCCAAACTTAGCAAGAGCAGCTTCAAAGAAAGAGACTACAGAAGCAGAGAAACATGTGCCTGAGAAGTTGGAAATAAATGAAGTGGAGATCATTGCAATTCAGCAGGACAGTGACCAAGCTAATCCTTTCCCTTTGCAATCTGTGAGTGGTTAGGATGATGGTTTAGGAACATTAGTTACTATGGCTGTTAAATGTTCCCAAGTGTCTTGATATAATTTCTGTGTGATACCGTTCTCCTGTGTGAGTGCCTTGTTGCTTCTCATAATTGGTGGCATAGGCTATAGTGTCTGGTGATGGGCAGGTATCAGAGGGCAGGCACTGAGGAAGCCAGGGCTCTACTTAAAGACTCTTTAACTCATAGCCTTTTCACCCATAGCCAAATAATGTGGTGCGTCTCTGCAGAGGACAAGTGGGAGCAACCGTCCTCCTTTATTTTACCTTACTGTGAAGATGAGAATTTAAAAGCCTGATAGAAGTTATTATTTTTAATGTACAGGGTCTATCGGGTCTCACTGCATAGATTGGACTTGTAGTGATCCTCCTGTTTTTAGCCTCCTAAGCTCTGGGATTATGGGCCCGTGCCACCACACTCAGTCTCAGTCACTGTCTCAGCACTACCAGGTACTGGGGATCAAACCCTGGTCTCTGTGCCTGCCTAAGCAGGTGCTTTAGTCTGCTGAGCTATCTGGATGGCCCAATAGAAAGTATTTTGTTTCCTTTTTTTTTTTTTAATGACAGGGCCTCTTAGTATAGTTCAAGCTGGCCTTGCACTCATGCTGTGTAGCCCAGGCTTGTGCTGAACTAATAGCAATCCTCCTGCTGCCTCTTGAGTGCTGAGATCGTAGGTGTCTATTACTACACTTGGCTTTTATTTATGTTTTTGATTTAGCCCATAACAGATTAAGGTTGTTAGATGTAGCATCAGAGACTTTGAAATGAAATATCAACACTCATAAATTGAATGTTTTACACAAATAAAGTACATCTTAGAATTAAAATTCTTACCTGATGTTATGCACAGACCTCTAATCCCAACATTTGGGAGACTGGTAAGAGCAATGAATTTGAGGCCTGTCTGAGAAATTAGTACAATCCCAAATCAAGGAAAAACAAAAACAAAAGTTAATTTGTTGCATCTTAGAATTGCTTAGTTCTTTGCTGTACATTAATATTTATACTTTTTATACTCACATTAGTTCTATTAATTGCTTTTTATAATTATACAATCTTTAATTTAGAAAAGTATATGTATATGATAAAAATAAGAGTCTTTCGTACTTTCTGTGCTGGGCATCGTTCAATCTTGCACATGCTGGGCAAGTACTCTGTCACAGAGCTTTATTGCTCTTTTCTATACTGTCCCACATGTCCTTCCATCTTGAGTTAATCATTCAGCACAAAAATACACACCTAAGCTTTTCTGTATAATTATTAGTTATAAAAATAATAAAATGTGAGGGTGTTTTTGTTTAGCAAAAATGGCACCAGACCTTGCTGTTTGGTTTTTCCATTTGACACAATATTGTACCTTTTTGAATCAGCAAAGAAATTTACCTTTAAAGAAGTTAGAAATTTATCTGGGGATGTAGCTCAGTGGCACGCGTGCTGGGCAAGTGCAAGGTCCTGAGTCCTGAATAGCAAAGAAAAAGGAAATTAGAAGTTTAATTTGTTATTGATAGATTATTTCTATTTTCAAAGTATATGTAATGAACCATTTACCTTTTCTTTGGAGGAGTAGGGTAGGGATTTTTTTCCCCTTTCTTATTTTGGCATCTAGGCAAATATTCTGCCTGTTAGCTGCATCCTCAGCTTCAGGGGGTAAGGTGAGATTGCCATAATAAATATCTTTGTATATAAAATTTAGGTGTTTTAATATTTTATTAGATGGATTTCTAAAAGTGAATGGAAAGGATTTAAAATTTTGTTAAGTACTGTTTGTTGCTGTTTACAATGCCTGTATCAATTTATTTTAGTAGTATATGATAGTTTTGTTTTACCTATAATTTCATCAATCCTGTATTGAAGTTTTTTCTGCTTTCTAGGATGTGACTTCCTTAATGGCATCCAGAGAAAAAGATAAAGGAGGTGGTGAGAAAGAGCAGGCTGTGCTGTTACAATGTATCCAAGCTGAAAGCGACCCCTCTCCAGAGGGAGCTGCTGAACTCCCAGGGGATTCTGAATTGCTGCAGACCCAGGAACATGACTCAGCTGTTCCCATGGGGTAAACAGTGCTATTTCCTTGAAAATCTGAAATAAGAAAAACATTTCTTTTAGATATTTATGTTTATTAAAAGTTTTTAATATATTTTTAAATGACTATCAAGAATATGTGGTTCAGGGCTGGTGAGATGGCTCAGTGGTCTAAAGCACCTACTTAGAACAAGCTTAGCAAAGCACAGAGACCGCGGTTCAATCCCCCAGCACCACATGCCAGCCAGCCCCGCCCCCTGGTGGGCTGAGCTGGCCACACATACACGCATACACACATAAATAAATAAAATGTAAAAAAGAATACGTGGTTTATTTTCATTGATATGGCATCTAAAATAGAAAATCAGATGTAATTGAAAACTTCAGTGTTTGCTTCTGGCTATTTATTAGCTGCTTAAGATTCTATACACAGCAGTTCCCTAAAATATAAATAAATAAATAAATAAATAAATAAATAAATAAATATATTTCTTACATTTAAAAATAATAGTGTAATGTACATTGTCCATTGACCATTTTAATCATTGTTATACATACTACTTGTTATCATTAAGTACATTCATATTGTACAGTCTTCACCACTGTCCATCTCTGGAACTTTGTTTTCACAAACTCACAGTCTAGTTCCCACTAAATCTTAGCTCTCATTACCCTCTTCTGGTTCTTGGTAACACCTGGTAACCACTTATTTATAAATTTGGCTATTCTAGGTACATTGTATAAGTTTATTGTGTTTTAAGAAGTGAAATGACTTTTATTACATATATTTTTATTATGGAAAGTTATTTCCTTGAATGGTAAAAAAAATTTTCACAGTGAGAGAAGGTTTGAATTACATATATTTGCAGTAATTGTCAACATTTTACAATGAGGCTCTGTCTTAATTTTCTCTTGTTGCTTAGACAAAATACCTGACACTCAAAGTTAAAGGGGGAAGGGTTTATTTACCTCAAAGTCTGTAGAAATTTCAGTCAATAATCGACTGGCTCTGAGGCAGGTGGCTTTGCACATAGGCACAAGAGAGGAGAAACAATTACAGGGGACCAAACATAGCGAAGCAACAAAGTATCTCTACAGCTCTTTGTATCTCTTATGTCCTAGGCAGGCTACTTAGGGCAGGTAGCACTCACAGCCTTAATCCTAGTGCCCCCTTGATCCTAGCATTGCGCCATGAATCACTTTCCGTGTCACATCCAGCATCCTCTGAAAAAGCCCTACCTGAACCGCATGAGACTTTGCAGGGTAGGGGGGCATCTAAACAAAAGCCGTAATAGGTTTCCTATCTTTCTTCCTGATTCCTTTTCTAGGATTCATAAGATAAACACTTCCAAACGAGAAATGAAAGAAAACGTTACTCAAATGGTTCTACCAATGAGGGCCCGACTTCAGAGGCCCAGACCAAATGTAAGAAATGCTAGACATAGACAAGTAGTAGAAAAAGGTGAAGCCAAAGTAATGATTCAAGATGGAACAACAGTGCTACAAAAAGATGAAACTAACAAGAAGTTGGTGACAGTGGTGAGTTGGGTAACTAAACTGAACACTTTAATGCATAATAAAATGTCAAGTGATGGTTTGGACTTGATTTGGAATAGCATAGTCTAACATTTATTATTGTCAATGAATGTATAGTTTCAGACTTTTGTTTCAGATTTACTATTTTTTTGTGATGCTTAGGGTTGAACCTAAATTCTTGTGCATGCTGGTCAAGTGCCCTGCCATTGATGTACAGCTCAGCCATGGAGTTCTTTTCCTACTATGTAGTATGTGCCATGTACATTTATTACAGGACAGTAATGAAAACAGCGAGAAAAGAGGGTAAAGGGAAGAAGGAACTAGAGACTAAAAGGAAAAAAGGACTCAAAAAAGTGTGAAGGAAAAGAAAAAGGGATCTGTGTTTTTTGTTTTTTTTTTTAAGTGAAAGTGACTTTTTACTCTAGTGACATTGTTCATTACGAAACATTTAATCAATACAAAGTGATACCCAATACAAAGTAAATGACCCAAATCTCTCCACCCAGAGATAACCACTAAAAATGCTTTGCATCTTTTTTGTTTGGTGGTGGAGGGGATTGAACCCAGAATCTTTTTTTTTTTTTTTTTTTTTTTTTTAAGAGACTCTTGATATAGAGTTCAGGCTAGCTTGAACTGATTTTGCAGCCCAAGCTGTCTTCAATCTGCAGTGATCCTTTTGCCTCAGCCTCCTGAGTGTTGAGATTACATATGTGCACTGCTACAACCTGTCTGTCTTCCCGTCTTCCCTCTTTCCCCCTTCCACCCTCTCCGTCTATCTCCTTTCTTTGATTTTGAGAAATTGAACCCAAGTCCTTATGTATGCACCCTTAATACCTTTAGCCCAAATGTTTAAAATTTTTGGTTTTATAGCAGATGACTCAAACTTTTTTTTTTTTTTGTTGGGACCAGGGATTGAACTCAGGCCCTAGCGCTTGCCAGGCTTATTCACTGCACTTATTCTACTGCACTATCTCCCCAGCCCCGACTCTCAGAACTTTTAAAGCGTTAAACATATTCCTTTGATAATCACTGGCATTCTCTATGAATTAGGTAATTTCTGGGTTGGCTTTCCTAGCTGAATCTTATTTTTTTTATGTTTTGGTTGTGGTACAGGAATTGAATACAAGGGCCGGCTAAATAGCTCAGCAGATTAAAGTGCCAGCTTAGGCAGATGCAGGGGTGGGGAGTTCGATCCCTTGGCCTTCGGGGGTGCCAGCCCTGCCCCTGGGGCACACTGATATGGCAATTGAGACTGGACATGGTGGCACACACCTGTAATCCCAGCACTTGGGAGGCTGTAAACACTACTCAGTGAGACCCAGTACACCCTGTCCTAACTGTCAAAGAAAAAAATCGAATACTAAGTCTTCTCACTGGTTATATCTCTAGCTCATTTTATTTTTTATTTTAAGCAAGATCTTGGAGCTTGTCCAGGGTGGCCTTGAACTGATGAGCCTTTTATCTCAGCCTCAAGGAGCTGTGATTATAGGCTACACCACTGCTCTTCACCCTTGTTTGAATCTTAATTTTATTATTATTATTACTGAAATAGTCTCACTCTGTATTATAAGTTGGGCTTGAATTCATGGTGATCATTCTGCCTCAGCCTCCCATGCACTGGGATTATAGACACCTGCTGCTGTGCCCACTGAATCTTTAAAAAAAAAAAGTCTTATCTGGGGATATACTTCATTGGTAGAACACATGCCTAGCATATGGAAGGCCTACCTTAGTTTCAGCTTATAGTCATCGAAATGTTTTAGGAGGTATGTTTTGCGGTTGAAAAAAATGCTAAGGTGATTTTTTTCTTTCCAGTCAAATTCTCAAATTGAAACTGTGTCTGCCAAAGTTTCAGAATGTAGTATGGATGAAAGTCAAAGTCATGAGGGTCTTGCAGAAAACTTGAATGTGAACAAAGAAAATGTCTCCAATGAGAAGAGGTGAGTTTACTTTTAATGAGAAAAGAATAAAGTGTTTCAGAAATAGATAATTTTGCATAATTGATTTCATAAAAATTTCATATCTTAAAATCTTTATGAAAGGGTATTAGTTTTATGAAATGATTAGTTACTTGGTAGTTTTTTAGAGATAGTGTCTCCCAGTGTAGTTCAGGTTGGCCTTGAACTCACTGTGTAGCTCAGGCTGGCCTCAGTAATCCTCCCCCTCAGCCTTAGCCCCTGCTAGGATTGCAGGTATGATCCCCACCAGGACTTCCAGAACTGAATTTTAATCTCCTCCAGTTACAGTAAGAATATTTAAAAATTTTTTTATATATATATATATTTTAATTTTTTAAAAAACTTATTTATGTATGTGTGTGGGGGGGGCAGCTCAGCTCACCAGGAGGCGGGGCTGGCTGGCATGTGGTGCTGGGGGATTGAACCACGGTCCCTGTGCTTTGCTAAGCTTGTTCTAAGTAGGTGCTTTAGACCACTGAGCCATCTCACCAGACCCAACAGTAAGAATATTTTGCAGGCCTCATTCATTCTGACTCTCTTTCTCTTTTTCTCTGTTTTTTGTTATACTAGGGATTAAACCTAGGGCTTTAGACTATGCTACATCCCCAATTGCTTTGTTAATTTATTTGAAATAGGACCTCCCTAAGTTGCTGGTGTGCCTAGATTGGGGCTTAAATTATGGTCCTTCAATCTCAGCCTCTCAGGATGCTGCAGTTACAGGTGTGTACCACCATGCTCAGCTTGATCTTGTCTTAATTTGTAATTTTTAAAAATTTTGTCAAGCATCCTCACATTTAGTATTAAAGGTAGACTTTCACTTGAACTGCATTGCCCAAAGCTTGGTATCTATGCTTTTTTTTTTTTTTTTTTAATTTAGTGCAGGGTCTACAGGGTCTCACTACACAGATTGGACTTGTGGTGATTCTCCTGTTTTCAGCTTCTGAAACACTAGAATCATAGGTGCCACCACACCTAGTCTCAATGCCATCTCAGGGCTCCCCCAGGGGTGCAGGGTCGGCACACAGGCCCTGGGATCGAACCCCTGGCCCCTGTGCCTACTTGCAGGCACGTTAATTGGTGAGATACTTGGCTGGCCCTTATACTGCTCTTTAAAGAGAATTTAAAAAAAATGATAAGAAATCATTAGAAATGATACAAAATTTCAAAAAACAAGATGATAGGAATTCAACAGTGATTATTATATTGCATATTGTTGTCTCTAAAGTAGTTTTAATTACCAGATAAGCATGTAAAATTAGTCAAGAAAAAATTGAGCACTAACTTGTTCCTCTTAGTACACCAATAGAAATTTTTTTTTTAAAATTTATTTTATTTATTTATTTTACATTTATTGTGTGTGTGTGTGTGTGTGTGTGTGTGTGTGTGTGGCCAGCTCAGC